GAGAGAACCAGAACCAGGACTGAGCGGGTCAGACCGTCAGACCCCTGCTGCAGTAAAATGAGAGGTTTTCTAAAGGGAATCTGGTGATTTACCAATTTTGTCCATAGGGACCACCAAAATCAACACAAAAGGAAAGTTCCTTGTCTGATGATTTAAATGCAGGACTTTTCCTTATAATGGGTTGTATAGAGATTTTAGTATTGGTACTTTTACATAGCATAGGATCTTTAGTACTTCTTCCACCGCTGGAAATATTGCCCGGTGTGTGCGGAGTGCTAGAGCTGCCACAGCTTCACATCAGTATTACTGACACCAGCTTATCGAGAAGCATAAACTCCTGCGGTGGCAGCAAAGAGCCTCAGCAGAGGCCCGGGGGGGTCAAGAAAGAGTTCTGTCTGCAGCGTTCGGAGCAGAGACGGCTCTTTGTTTGGCCTGCTATGAAAAGCTCGTCTGTCTCCTGCCTCTGATGTTCTCAGGCTCGAGGCCAAGTCGGTGACAGAAGGAGCCTTTGCACAGCGCCGTGCCCTCTGCCAGAGAGCTGCGCTGTTACATGGAGGAAAAGAAACACAGAAGATAAACTAAGCTTCCCATCTCTCATGTCCAGGGGGGTGGAGGTCACTATCTCCGGGGGGCTCAGTTTTTCCAGCTGTTGACACTAATGGGAGTGGTAAGGAAAATGTTTTCCTGGAACAAAAAGCATCTTGTAATTCACACAAAACTGAAGATGACAGCGCAGAAATAACTGGAGGTAGCATGAGCTGTGATGTTTTTCATTTGAAGTAGAACTCGATGTGATACAGCACACAAACGGTACATATTCATATTAATTCCTGGGATTTAGTGCACCGTCATCCACACTAAGTAAAACAGTTGGTTGAGTCTACACGTGTTTGATTAATGTTGCTAAATGAAGCATGCAACATGTGCTCTAGCTCACTCAATCTGTCACATTTGGCCTAACGTTGCCTCTCCTGAGGGAAATGTTTCCCCAACATCAGTAATGGCATCGATCACCTCAGGCTGGCTGTTCATGCAGAGGAAAGTGATGCACTGCCATCTTGTGGCGTGCGGCTCTTAGTGCTGTGGTGAGTGTCAGTCGTCTCCCGCTTTGACTCCGTCGTTGTCAGCCCTCTCTCTCCCTTTCTGATGCGTTTTGAAGTGGGCTGAAGTCTCATGAGAGGAGACGGGACCCCTGCAGAGCAGCTTATAGCTGAGTACGTGATAATGCTTTCCACTGTTGATACATAATATTGTGCAGACGCATACGAAACGCTGCGCAATGAGCAGACATCTTCTCCTGTGAAAGATTTAAAAAGAAATCCAAGGAAGGCAACCTAAAAAGAGCAAAAACAGGATGCGCTTTGATGGGAACAAAGTGCTGCATCAGTTTTGAGAGGTGTTCAGAACTTGATGTTCGTGACCTCCAGCTGTTGTTTTACTGTATCTCTGTTATCTGTCTTTAGATCAGCCGAGGCAAGGCAGCAGACTGACAGCCAATTCAGCTAGAAACAAGCAATGTCAGGACATTCTGTGATTTTCAATTCTCAGCGGAGCAACTCTTGATTATTTTTGTTTTTTACAATCACAAATTTATAAGTGCTGTGTCCAATGATTATTTTCATCATTCATCACCGGTTCATTATTCTATGAACACATTAGTTGTCTAGTCTAGTTGTACAACTGCATGACAAAGAGAAAGTTATCCAAAAAAACAAATTTTGGTCTTTTTGCTTAGAAAAATACTTAAACGATTAATCATTGCTGAATAATCTGTTATTGATCGACTAATTGCTGCAGTTCTTGTGCAAGAACGTGAGCTCCAGTTCTTTCCTTTCATGGTTTTTTTTTCTCAGCTGTTTAAAATCAAAATGCCCACTCATCCTCCTCCTGCGGTGACTGCGGTTACTCCACCGTGCTATCGGACTGAATGAGAGCTCGCTGTGTAAGCTCTCCAGTCGGCTCCATGTGTCAAGAGGACAGACACGGAGCAATTAGTTTGGAACTCATCAGCATGCATTTCCTGTGACACTAAAAGCCTTCTGTGGTGCATCTGTGTTCTTTGTGTGTGCTGCCGGGCTGGAAGGATTTCTGCACAGAGTCCTGCAGCTATAGCACACACACACACACACACACACACACACACACACACACACACACACACACACACACACGAAGGCCAGCTGGATTAAAAGTGGCCATATGGTGACGGAGGAGAGCAGGGAGTTTGGCACAAGAAGGCCAACGTATGCAGTATTTGTACATCTTAAAGGCCACACGGCAACATGTCTGGATGTGTGCAGGGCCACGGGAGGCATTGCAAACGTTAACTTCAAATGGTGTCTGTGCTGCTGTTTGCTCTATTGTGAGTATCGCTGGTAGGAATATAGGATTTTACCACTGATCACGATTAAAAAAAAAACAGCCACAATAAGTCCACTGTGGTAAATTTCCATTTTTGGGATAATTGTGAACATCGTCATATGAAAAGCTGTCCAGCTCACTGTCATGGCAGAGAAGTGAAAAGCAGGTTTAAAAATAAAAGAATTATCACACAGACTCACACAATGTTTATTATTTATCCTTTATTTATGCAGTGGGACCTTATGATTTATGATTACCTTATTCCAGATTGTTTGTTAGTTTTTCACGAAAAAAGGATGTGTCCCATCCGTGATGCAATAACAATATTTTGTTATCATCAAAACTGGTGATTCCAGTGTCTTTTATAGCCGCTGTAAGCACTTTTTGACTTTTATCGGGATATCCATAATTGCTATTGATTTGGTCGGATGTAGGATGTGGCGGCATCTAGTGGTGACGTTTCAGAGTGCAACCAACTTCTCCCGTGTGCTAAGCGTGTAGGAGAACTACGGTTGGGGAAAATGCCCTATCTAGAGTGTTTGGTTTGTCCTTTCTGGGCTACTGTAGAAACACGGCGGCTGCCTCCGTGAAGAGGACCCGCCCTGTAGATATAAACGGCTCATTCTAAAGAGTGCGTGTCTAGACTACTAACACTCTGCTTTGGTTTTTTTTTGGATACACACTCAATGTTGAACAGAATGGAACTCACCTGTCGGAGCCCCTCCTCCACACACCCTTTTGCCAACAGTACACACACACACACACACACACACAGGCTGTGAACAGAGCACATAAATTGGTCAACTGTCGGCCTGCAGGTTATATTACACGAGCATGTGCACACAGTAAATGTATTGTCTGGACAGAAAACTTTCAAGTATCTCATTATAGTTATGTGAAGAGTTGGACGATGTTGGATTCAAAAATGATACATAGTTTCCACTCTACGCTCACAGGTGTGCACAAACGAGTGTGTGCACACACATGCACACGCGCTGTGAATGGCTGTGAAGTGCATGGTAGAGCTGGAGGGATCAGCACTTGTGCTTGATAATTAGAGAGCACATAGCCGGTGTAATTACAGTGGGATGACGCACGTACACAATTAGCCGCTACACAAGTTCATTAAGAAAAAGACTAAGGGCCGACGGTGCTAGTCACCTTGCCGTTAACGCTCGATACATCGACAGCGCTGTGTGCCATGGAGTCGGCCCGGGGTGAAACGCATCCTCCCCTGGAGACTGTAAGCCATAGGCCCGGGGGGGGGGGGTGTGTATGTACAAAGTCCTGATGAGAGCTTGTCTCTATAGACACTCTCCTGCCTGCCTACCATCCCGCTATGGATGCTGTTACCTGGTGAAGGTGTCAACAACAGTGCCATGTTTTTCCTAATAGGGGCACAGTACAGCGTACAGTCCATTGTGTCCACTGTCTGCAGTTTGTGTTCATTTTGACCCATTTTGCAGCCAAAACTTCCATTTTTTTAAAATCTTCATCCATATTGCCTTATTTCTGCTAAATATATCACACTTCCTTTCTGGTTTGGGCATCACTTGTACATGATGAAATGTCTCTGCAAGCCACATAGATTCTCTTTCTCCAACTTCTGGCAATACGAAGTCCAGAACTGTACACAGTCTGTAACACCTTTTATCAAGTGACTTGTTTTCCCCTACTGATTATTTCATTCTGTAGTGTTTCTTTTCTCTGAAGACGTAATTAGCTGTGCAGCATCTTTACCTGTGTGCGCCATTCCTCACTGGACAGGAAAGCCTCATCTGTTTTGAAAGACACTACAGAGAGAAGAGCATTGATTTCAGAAGAGCGAAGGATGGAGAGGGGGGAGTGGGGGGGCTGAGTATGTGAGAAGAAGATAAATTGGAAAAGAGAGGGAGAGGCGGAGGAGGAGAGAAAACAAAATGGGAGGGAGCTTGAGAGAAGGCATGATAATGAGCCCTACCTCTGACACATCCTCCTGTTTCTATGGAGACCAAGGAGCCAATCGCGTGGCCCTGCTGAGGACTGTACTACTGAGAGCAGATAAGAGGGTGGAGAGAGGGGTACGCAGAAGCCTCTCCGTGTTTATGAGAGGCAGTATAATCTCCCAGCAGCTCTCCTGCAGGTCGTGTCCTCTTGCTTTTAATTTCGGAGTGGCAGCCTCCTCGGGCACTGGCACCAGTAAAGAATTACCCATCATCCTCCATGCTTTAAAACAGAGGCTTCACATCAGTACTTAACAGATAGCTCCTGTAGTTTCTTGGCCCCCTCACCACCACTACCTCTCCTCCGCTTCCTCCTCTTCCATAACCAGCCAACTCACCCTCCATCCCCCCCCCCCCCCCCCCCCCCCCCCCCCGCACCCTCTCCGCCGCTCCCCACTCCCACACACACACACACTGCTCGCTGGCTGCCTGTGTTTGTGACTGGGAGAGGGAGAGTGAACGCGAGAGAACCCGTGTGCGCACGCCGTCTCAGTCACGCAGTCCCATTGACCAGCACACAGGATGGACAAGCCAAGCGTGTGGCGCGCCGTGGTGAGCAGCACGGACCCCCGGCGAACCCGAGACCCCGGGTCCCACTCAAGCAGACCGGGCTCCGCCATGGGTTACCGGCTCTACGACATGTGAGTAGCATGTCCGGTGTGTGTGTGTGTGTGTGTGTGTGAATGCTGTCGGAGGGGAGGACTGGTGTAGCTGTCCCATTCATGGAGACGGCGTCGGTCGAGTGGGTGGTGGTAGTGGAGGAAAACACGGCTTCTATACCTCTACCACTGTCTATGCTGAGTCACCAATTGCATCCAGACCTTGCTCTGTCCTCTCATGTTCCCATCCTGTGCTCTTAGTAAACAACATCTCTATCGCCCGGGGAGGGGCGACCAAGTGGAACATCACGTTTTGTTCGTGTGAATGAAATGCAGAGATTTCACCGAGATGAATTAACACCATGTGTCTTCAGACGGAGTTAAAAAAAAACAGAACCTGAGCGTTGTTTTTGTATTTGCACACCATTATGTGTGAAATCACAACAGAGTCATGTGAGTGATGGTTTTGGGAGCCTCGGGTGGCTGAGATGAATGACTCATTTGTGGATGATGCGGTGACAGCTCTTACTGGGCACATGAGTTCCTCGCAGCTTCTGCCGTATATATTTGTGGGTGTGAGTGTGTTCTCCTGTGTGATTGGTACTGTGTGTGTCTGTGGCAGTGCTAGTGACTGTGTGTGTGTGTGTGTGTGTGTGTGTGTGTGTGTAAAATGCGGCTGGGTCTGTGCTGTTATTTTTGGGATGGTGATGAGTCGTACAGTCTGAGTGGAAAGCTTCCGTCTACTTCAGTATATCATGTGTCACATCTGCCGGGATGAAAGGTGGATACCATTAGATTTTTTTTTTTTTTTTTTTTTTTTTTTCAGTTTTGTGAGGGTTTGTGTTGTTGATAGTGCTGTACAAGAATTTTCTGCACACAATCTACCCCTGCCTAGTACACAACACCTCAAGTATTTTGCTGAATAAGCATTCTGCAACCTCCGCAGAGGCACATTTAAGTTTGTTTTCGTTGCTGTCGTGTGTGTGTCGCCTGCATCACCCTCTGATTCTTTTTCAACCCTGTACGTGTATCCATGTACGCGAATGCTCAAAATGCTCCACACATGTACTTAACGGCTGGTGCATAAGGTTGAGCTGAATTACCCTGTCATGTCATGATCTAATACCATACATGGGGATCAGTCATCTTAATGAATATGAGACCTTCACGGGTCCCCACGGAGTCCTTCACAGACAACCTGAGCCTGCCATCCACTGGCTTGACTCTCTGTCTTGTTTCCATGTGTACAGCACAGCGCACAGGAATACATTCCTGATTCTCAAGCTCCTTTAGTGTACCAGTAATTATAGTTTCATTACATGCTTTATTGTCTTTTTGTTGTTGCATTAAAGACAATTGAACATCTTGTTCTGTCTGTGGTTCTGAGACAGTGGCTGACGACTCTCTGCCCTATTTCCCTCCAGCTTTAGTTCAAAGAGAGCTTTAACCACAGAAGGTCACATGACATGGCTGAGAGGCAGCGCTCGGGGAAAGGGGAAAGTGGGGTGCAAATCAATGACTTTGTGAAACAGTCGCTGTCGTCGTCGTCGTTGTTGCGGGACAGAGAACATGTGCCTCGGATTGACACTAATGTGTTGGTCTGACTGTCCGTCACACAGACTGAGGCTCACAGCGCCGGGCCAATACTCCTTTAATGAGGAGCTGGAGCTGGAGTGGGATGAGTCTGTTCTGTTGTAAATGTCATTTCATCACCGCTGGCAGGCCTCAGTCCCTCTGGAATGCTAATGCTGTGCTTACAGCGCTGGAGGGCCAAGATGAGGATAACCTGGACTTGGCCAAAGGCTTTCTTGGCCCTTTTTAAGGACACCACACTTCACCACTCTGGCCTGAAGGGATGCAGAGGTTGAGTCGAATACTCTAAAACACGACAGGATGTGTGAAGTGTATTTTGTTGAGTTTAGCAGGGTGAGAGCAGCGTGTGTGTTTGTGCCCTGAAAATGGTTGAAGCCTTTATAATAAGTAATCAAACCTGTTCATGTGCGGCCATGTGATAAGCAAATTGACAAGGAACTTGATGTGCCATAGTTTACTGGTGCAGAGCAAACGAGCCAGATCACACGGCAGGGAGAGAAACTGTATGTTTAAACTGCACATGTTGTTTTGTGAAATCATACACATCAACCCCATACTGGTATTGCTAAATCAACCGCCTTCCAGTTAGCTTCGTCTGAGGGGGTTATGACATGGATCTGCACAGTAGATTCTGTGCACCAGTGTTGCCGCCCAGCTCCGTTGTCAACCTGGCTTGTGCATGAAAAAAGGAATAATCGCTTTCTACTAATATGCTAATTTTTGTAATTCCAGATCATGAAAGATAAGTATTGGGAGTTGAGATGTGCACGTCTTTTTGTAATCCAATTGCCCGTGACATTACCATCGGGGAGGTTTGATCTTCGTGCATGGATTATTCCCCTCTTCTCTCAGCATATGTAACACTGAACGGACAAGGTGGCTAATAAACATCAATGGGCTTTACCCTTCATTGAGTTAATGTCATGCATTCTCGGAGGGCATTCATTTAATAAAGCCTTTATGGCAGGAATTCCCATTTCCATTTATTGGCTGAGAGATTCCTAACGCAATGCCACTGATGACAGCACTGATGAAAATAAAGAGAGTGCGTCACCGGAGCTGTGAGCCACTGACGGCACATTCCTTCACTTTGATCCTGAGCCTTTGACAGCGCAGTGTGCCGGGTCTGCAAACTGAGAGAGCACCCAAAGACGACTTGCAGCATCGCTCTGAATATGCCTCCGCCGGGACACAGCAGCTGTATGGGACGCATGCCGCTATTGCACGAGACAACAACCACAGATTGCCAGCACATGGGTTGGCACGGGGCACGCTGTCAGTTAACATAGCATCAGTGGATGGGGGCACAACGTTACAGAGCTGGAAGTGAGTCACTAGTTAAAGCAGGGTTTACTTGCTGTATACATGCGCAGGCCTGTCTGCATAATAACCCTTTTGATTTTTCACTTGTCTGAAAGCTACAGTGACTCCTCACTGCCATAAATGACTACAGTCATTCTGCAAAGTGGACATCATTGTAGCCGCTGAAGCACCGTCTGTATTGCTCGAGTCATTATACCAAGGACTGTGTTTATTGATCTCTTCCTAATGGTTTTCAAGAAAGTAGGAGATTCACGCCTTAAGATCTCCTCTCCTGCTCCATCAATAGTGTGTTGCAGACTAGAATAGAAGATTGACAGATGGTTCATCCAATCACCTGCCCGGCTTTTCTTTCGCGTGCCTGTTGTTTTCCAAATGACGGCTCTTCCGATGGTTCTGTATAACAAACTATCTGGCGGGTCAGGTTAGCGAGAAATACCTCCCAGAGGTGTTTTGAGAACACAGAGCTCCAAAACGAGATCCGTCTGCCAAGTCAAGCGGCCGTCTGTACAAATGCAACAGCAGCATTTTGGCCTTTGCCAAAATAGCACAAGCTTGGCTCAGGCCGAGGTCGCTCGGCTCAAAGGCTGTCATTTGCACACTTAAGGACCTCTGCAGCTGGACATGTGTAGGCTGGCGCTGAGGTTTCAGTGGTTGAGGTTGCAGCTGGAGCTGCGTCACAGCCGTGTGTAAAGATTATCAAACCAGCGGGAGCTGTTGGGCTCTCGGGGGGCACATCTCTGTGAGTTATAGTTTCCTCAGGGGAGAAGCTAGTGTCTGATGCATCCGCCGGTTGAAACGGCCCAGTAATAAGCTCCTGCCTTTGCCAACGGCAACGTCGGATGCGACAGCACAGAGAGTTGGGCGCATCAGAAAAGGATTCATCTCCAGAACATTTTGTTCCTCTGGCAAATAAAAACGGATATGAGGATGTGTTTATCAGCAGCAGTGTTGCATAATAACAGCCACACCAAGGTGTCACGAGGATGTCGTCTCACATATTGATTCTTATTTCCACGGTTTGCTGATTCATAATTGGAGAATATTCTTTCTATACATGTTTTTCGCTTTCGTGACTCTGGGATTTCTTTGCTCGCTGTATTTGTTTAATTTATACGAGACATGTTAATCCTATCAGGGAGTTTAAACACAAGTCGTATTCATGTGTTAACATAGGCTCAGTTCTAAGCCTGTACACATCATTCAACAAGCCATAGACGATGCAACCATCTCCTCTCTTTCGTAGTAGACATGGTGTACTTTTGACGAGCGCAGCATGCTGTGTTGGACATGTGCGCTGTGTTGCTGGTGCTGCGTTCAAGTGTACACTCTTTGTCAGTGGAGACGGCGCTCGTCATCGGTTTTGTTACCCGGCCTCGGGTTATGAAAGGCCTTCAAGGGAGCCGGCAGAGACCGAGGCTGTGGGATCCACCTCCAACCAGCCACAAAGAATTGTCTTCCTTGCTGCTCGTCTGTTGCCGTTCTGCTTTAGTACAAAGCAGAAGCTGGGGGAGTGAGCGTGCTGGTATTGTGGATCTCTTCCCTCCCAAATGTGTCTCTCTGTCGTCCCGCTTTTGTCTCCACACCCTCCTTTTCCTTCTGTTCTCTCATCTTTTTTTTTTCCCCCTCCTCCTCCTGTACTCTGTGTGGATGCTTTCAGACTGGAGGCTAAACAGCTGTACTGTACCTCAAGAGCTTGTGCTCATGCCAGCTCTGCTGTAACTTTCATGTAAGATTGTCTCCCCAGAGCATCCACTGTAAAACCACATGATTTTATCCGTCCTGTAGTTTAAACGAACATGCTCGTCAAATACTCATCCTTCTTTACAGGTAAAGGTATCTCCCCGCTGACTGCAGCCGTTGTGTTTTTATCCCACATCGAAGAAGCTGCTCCAATCTGCCACCAGGGGGTGAACTTTTCTAACATCCTTTCAGACACGCCGTCCTTCACACAGACTGTCCTTCACACAGACATCATGTCCGTCTCTGTACTTTAAATCATGGATGTTCAGTGCAACTTTGCTAGCTCTGTGATTCATGATGAGTATTATATCATGAGCTATCACCATCTGTCTCTCTTTGGTAGCCTTTTGAATGGATCAGTTTTGCAAGGAGGCCTCACAAGACAGACGAAGGTTCAGGGTTAGGTTCAAAGAGAGGCGGTCCAGGGTTAAAGCTATTGTTCAGTCAGGTGCTTTGTGTGCAGGACAGCCACCTTGCAAAGGCGTGAATTGTTTGCGGCGCCCCATAACTGTGATCTTCTTGCACCAAGTAACCATGTAGCCATCAGTCAAGCACCTTTGTTGCATGTTCCTCCCAAATGTTCCAATTTGTAAATGCAGAAATGTGTAACTTGTTACTGGATACACTGACCAAAACTCTTGTCAAAGACTGAACAATGCCGACGGCCTGCAGATGTTAAATCACAGCTAAAATCATCTCCTGTTGTGCTTGTATACACGCTAACTCAGCTCTTCATCCCACAAAAACTAGCCCGTCACGAGTGGGAGCCACCTGTGTTTTATGCTCTTCTTTGCCTTTTGGCAGACTCTGGAATGTTCTGCTCGCTGAAACGGTGGGGTTTCCAGCCACACTCACCGCTCAAAGAAGCCAGACTTCTCTCCATCTGGCATGAACCTCATGAGTGAATCACCAACAGAAGAGATAATGGGCTGAAATACTGAGAAGAATATTTATAAGTGCAGTCGCTTACCTTGGAACTGCATCCTTAATGTCGGTGCATTTGATCTCCGCCATCATCCTCTGTCGCTAAATATTATCTGATAATCTGCTCTAAATGTGTCTTCGCTTTCCAGCAAATGATACGTGACCACTAAAACTCAGAGTGCAGACATTTAAACGGGAAGATAATCGCACTTGTTACGTAGACGGAATGTGAAATGTCAGCTCGCTGAGAGCTTTTCTTCATTGATGGAGATTGAGATGAACAGATGCACAGATAAAAAGAAAATTCCATCTGTGTGTGTGTGTGTGTGTGTGTGTGTGTGTGGTTGTTTTCTGCGAGATGTGTGTAAATCCGGAGGGCCCGAGTTGTGACAAAAGGCTGATGAATGTTGTGTAGATTGATGAATTCCTTCGTGTCCCTGTTCACACAGACTCTCAGTATGGCCTTTGTGCTGCTCTGGTCTTTCTATATCTTGGCTCGGGGGGGAAAAACCGAAAGGAAGCTCGGATTGTGCCAGGAGGTGAGTGAAAAGAGTCGTGCGGAGATCGGATACGGATCTAACTGTACCAATCAGTGTGTTAATGTGAAAATACACACGCTTTTTTTATTTTTTATTTGGGTGCTTGCGTTTGCATATGCAACTACTTGTTTGTGTATGTATGCAGTATTTTCAGTGTGTTTGTGTGTTTGGACTCTGACAGTTGCTGAATATTGATGAGAGGCCCCTTCCACACCCCCTTTTTCCCATGGCTGCTGGGACTGGGTGGCACTGCAGCGTGGCACTGCCTCTCAGGCAGAGAAAGAGCAGCACTGTGCTTGTGTTCAACTGCAAAACCCCCTTTTTTGCAAGAAAAGAGAGCAACGTTCCGTGTGTCCCGCTCTCATGGCACTATAAGCACTGCAGCACATTTGGACATGCTTCTATTGAAGACGCGGGTTTAACATGCTGTTCCCTCTCATACACAGAAAATTAATTCTCTCTGCAGACTTTTCACCGTTTTACAACTCTTATCTCTGCACTCCAGTTTAATTCAGTTCACCATAACTGAGCATTTTGCTCAAGCAATTTATGTGCAATTGTGTTTTCTGCAGCGCTTCCGTGACCTTGTCGAGTAAAGCAACCTTTCTCTTTACTAAAACATGAGAGCTGTTGAAGCTCATATTTATTTAAACGAAGCATGTGTCTAAACTCATGTGGTCACACAACATTGCAGCGGGCCCCTCCCCGCTGAAAAGCCGATCCAATGGCGGGCCGCTCTCCGCCAGGCTTCCATTTGAAGCTTCAGTAGTACGCTAGTGTTGCCCAGCAACCAGAATCGGCACATTTCTGGGAGGTCCTGTGTGGATGGCAGCAGCAGCTGTAAGAGGGAGACGGAGAGAGCAGGAGGCAGAGGACCAGGAGAAGGGGACGGAGATAGGAGGAGGTTCAGGGATTTTGACCGGGAGGACGGCGAAAAGACGTCGTTGGGCTGAAGAAGGAGTGAGAGGAGGAGACCCGGCCTCTCGCCTCGTTAGAAAGTTTGTTCCTGCAGCAGAGGAGGAGACGGAGGCCACCGGTGATTCCCCCCGTTGAGTCTGTTCCTGTTAGAGCGGGGGATGAGGGTTCCTCTTCGTATCTGTGCTCCCACACATTCCACTACCTTGCCAGAGAGGTGCAGAGTTTCGGCTGCAGCCATGATGTCTCAGAGGATCCTGGACTGACGCACTGTGTTTGGGGACCGGCACAGAGGACAGACTGTCTGGCTGACCTGGATCGGAGCTAAAAGAGAGGAGAAGCGGCTAAACTAGAGCTTAAATTAGGAAAGTTGTATCCTGAGCTTTAATACCGGGTCCAGATCAGTCCCTAAAGAGGGTTCCTGAAAGGGCCTGGCTTCCTGGTTTTGGTGATGACTGAGACGGGTCCAGCAGCGATGTGGTCGCTCTGGGCGGGTTAAAACCACTCAGGCTGTCATCCAGGCTGGAGCTCCTGAGGAGGACAGATCCCGACGTCCAAGCCAGGGCTTCACTCGCTGGCTGGAGGAATCGTCAGCGTCCTGCTCTTGTGGTGCCATGGTGCTTTTTAACGTCGACACGTCCACCGCTCTTCTGCCCCGTTGATCGACTCGGCTGAGGATGTGGAAGTTCAAAGCGTTTTGCCTGGACTACTGGCACGTGCTGTGTTTGCACCCACACAACAACTTTTACAAGAGGTACGTTTTAAAAATGTCCGAAGTCACGTTTGGCTCGGATCAGCCATTGCACTTCTTGTTTTAAACAACTCGTAATTATCACAGAATGCCGTCAGCTTGTCGATGTTGCTGCCTGCGTTGATTTTGATTTAAAACAGACTCTTGAATTACTTCATCAAAGCTGCTCTGCACGCTGACGTACTGGCTGACTCAGGGAGGCTTTAGAGCGTGAGAGCTGGCTGAACCGATATCGATTCGTCACAGCGAACCAGGTTACCACTGTTATTTTGTTGAAGCACTCGGTTAAGTAACTTGCAACTTACAATGATCTTGTTTGCGTCGGCTGTCTGTTTAGCGTCGGCACCGCCGAAACGCATGAGCTGAGCCCGCTCTGACTGAATTCATTCATCCCCGTCCCACCGGGACCTCTCCTCTCTCACCTCACACCTACTGCGTTATCTCAGCCCGATTACCGAGTCCAGCTTTGCAGCTCGCATCAAGGGTGGCAATCAGTTTCAATCTATAATGTGCTTTGGGATTTATTTCAACACATCATGCCAATCATGTCATCAGATTTGATTTAATGCCCTTTGGTGACACTTCACACAGCAGTGAATCAGAAGATGCAACATATGAAACGGCTTGAACATCACGGCTATCTTTTCTATAAATGTATTCGAGATTTCTAATTTACTCACCCCATCCCCCTGCTGAGGTGTTGAGCTCTTTTACTGCCTATCACGACCCAGATATCTGATGCTCCACGTCCCATACATACACTCCACCCCCCTTAAACTGAGATGCACATGGTGCTGTTTTGCACAAAACCACCACTATCTGTTGAAGATGTAAAGAAAAAAAAAAAGCCAGATATGAATGGATTACCCGCGATGATAAAGGTGCTTTAACATTTGGGTGGTCTTCTTCACTTTCAGCTCAATCTGCCTCCGTTATCTGCAGCGTGTTTATTTCAAGCAGCAATTTCAGCTTCAGATGTCTGTAGTTCCTCAGCATCGGTTACCTCACTCTCAGTCGCACAGACGAGACAATATTTTGGTTCATTTTCCTGCTGCTGCACATATCGGATCTAGCGGTCACGTTTGCAGAGGTTTTCCTTCGTGCGTGTTCCCGCCGTGCAGATGTTTCGACGTCTGAATCAGAAGCGAGAGCTGCGAGTGTGAAGACACTGATTCAGTACCTGTGAAATTCAAGCGCACATGCCATCGCTGTCACATGTCTATATGCTAATGCCTTCACACAAATAACACACTCGGTTTGTCAAAAGCATTAGAATACTGAAGGTGAGCAATCACAGTATGTCCGTGAGTCATTAATAATGCATCACAGATTCAGCTCGCAACTGTTCTTTGAATGTAGGCTTCAGGGAAACCCCCCCAGCTGTTGGTGCAGTACCACATGCCTGTGATACGTCATCTTTTTAGACAGATTTATTGATTTTGCAATGTTGTATGTGCAGCATTTCAAATCTGACTTCAAAAGGTCTACTTCATGTGACATAATTAACAAAATGTTTTGCTAACTGCTGCTAATGGCCGATCTGTGACTCAGCGGTCTTTGGAATGATTTAGGATGACTGATGATTGTTATTATTATAATCATTTTCCACACGCTGTGAACAACTCATAAAGTGTCTAATCCCGCAGAGTTCCTGGAACATCCTGGTCACGGGGCGTAACTCATTACATCGCTCTGGCTCCAGTGTAACATAGTCCGGTTGTGCCCCAGGACCGGGACCGTGTTGTTAAAGCAAGGTCAGTGTAGTAACTCAAAACAGCCTCTCCCAGCTGCTGAACTGGGGCTCACCCTCTCTCCTGCGTGGCCTTCCCATTGAGAGCGGTGTGATTGTTGGACATGTGCCCAAGTATTACACACAGGGACCGAAAGCTCTCTCTCTCTCTCTCTCTCTCTCTCTCTCTCTCTCTCTCTCTCTCTCTCTCTCTCTCTCTCTCTCTCTCTCTCTCTCTCTCTCTCTCTCTCTCTCTCTCTCTCTCTCAGTCCCTTCCACATAAACACAAGCACACATCAAACTGACATCATAGGCCCTGCCCATCACCATTGGGGAGCAGCAGATGAGTGAAAGATTGTATTGGACGGCACAAAAAGGGAAGGGGTGTCCTTGGAGAGCAGAAAGAGGACTTGGTTGTGGGTGGAGAGCCTTTGTTAAGAAGAGGGATGATTTTCTTCTTCTGCTATACGTACTGGGCCTTTACCTTACTTGGTCATCAGGCAGCTCGCTAGAGCAGCAACCCAGAGCCCAACATTAAACTGGGGCAGGGAGAAACCTTTGTATTAAAAAGGCACAGACGAAGTAACTTTAGCAGCGAAAGAATGAACTTCTCTGCGGGTTTTCCATGGAAAGTGAAGGATGTGGGGTGTAATTTGTGGTCGAGAAGGGAGTGAGCACAGACTGTGCTTTTGGTGCTCTTTTAGGGGGGAGTTGCTGCTGTTTTTTGTTTATTTTTGAAAATTCTATTTTGTTTTTGTTTTTAAACTTCCCCTTCAGTGCCATGCGCACTTTTTTCGGGCATGTCTGATGCCTCCGGTGATGTCACTGCCCTGTGGAATGCGATGTGGAAGTACTGCATTACCAGCCGAACTATAAGGTAAGGAGGCCGTCTGGCTTGGACCAGTGTGGATGGCAGTGGCGCGCGGTTATAAGTGGCGGTTGCCGTTCCGACCGACCGCAGCAGCCTCTGCAGATATTTCAGACGTTTTCGACCGATGAAATAACATTCCTGTCTATATGCTCCAGCCTGACGGTTTCCTGTCCAGAACCACGGAAATATATTATCCCTGGCAGACAGCGGAAAAAAGGGCAGACATTGAACAGTAAAGACGTTCTCAAGGTCTTTCAGGGCAGTCTTACGTGTTCTGCAATAATGAAGACTTACAAATAATCTGGCCATTCTTCTCTCGTCTCTCTTAACTCTTATTATCTCTTAACTTTGTCTCAGTATAGCAGGAATGTCCTCAGACGTGCAGGATTCAAATCTCTCTGATAGAAACCAGAACAAAGATTACCTTTGTTCTGTATGACAGAGACCAGATTTCTGCCCCTTTTATTATTATTATTATTATTATCCATAGTGATGGAGTTATGTGAATGATTGACTGATTTTCTATCTTCCATTGTACATTGCTGTTACATTCAACCTGTGATTGTAATCATGGAGCCGGCAGGGAAAGTCACAGTGTTGACCTCTCCACACATCCAGGCCGCTCATATGATGTCTCTTTAACCTACGCTCCTTTGCGTTTGTTGTGTTTCTAAGATCGGATGTTACTTTCCTTACTGGCAGAACAATATTTTTGAGCCAATGTAGGTAAACATCCTGAACGAGTTAACGCTAACCTGCTAAATGTCTCGGAGGAAAAAAAATAACAAGACGATTCACGACTGAGGAATGACTCAGGAATCCAGTGGCAGTGACACCCTAGACACCAGGGCACATCTGATACGACTCTGGGTCTGTGTCGGAGAGTAAGCCGACGGCATTACTTATTCAATGTGTGCCGATCTGGAGCTTGTCACTCGTGCCTCCTTGTCCCATAGTGGATCTCCATGGGACGGAGTAGAGGAGGACGCTCTGTCGAGTCTCATCTGAATGAACTGGGATGTTAAACACCGTCCGACAGAGCTGTGCTGCTTCATTATAGGTAAATAGCTCTGACATAATCGTATTTGTAGCGGTAGCAGGAGGCACTGACCCCTTTTGTTGGTTCCCTGCTTTGGTACGCTGGCTATATGACAAGTGAGGTCCTCTTTTGTTGGGGGGGGGGCGGGGGCTGCTTGTAATGGAAAAGTAGCAACCTGCCAAAGCTAGCTTGCAGTTCCACTGTGGTGAGTGGGGGAAAAAAAGTACTCTCCGGGGTGGAAAAGCTTAGACGTGTCTAGGATGGAAGCCGTATTCTGGTCAGAGATGTCAGGATGATGGAGATCTCAAGTTGCAGCTCGCCTTAACAGAAGAGCGGACTGGTGTTCATGCCTTGCAGATCTGCTGCTGGATAGATCACATGTCACAGTAATGTTCCTTTTTGGAATTATAGCATTCATCTACAGATGTTGACCACAGTCACACAGGCTGCTGCCAAGTCCAAAAGTAGGTGTTCATATAGTGGATTCAGCATATTTCCCGCTGACATGTTTGTGAATATTTATTATTGTACTCGTGCTTGTCCAAAATGCATCTCCAGTGGAAAATAGGTTTACACTGAAACAGCCTACATCCTCAGGCTTTTGCCACTGGCTGGCCTCCACAGTCGGGTGCATCATTATGGATGTTTTTTTTTTTTAATCAGTGCCCATGACCAGAAAAAGGTCTCGCTGTGCTTTGGTTTACAGTATCTGAGGTTTACATGACATCTAAAGCACTTTATATGAAAAGGCTTTTTTTTCTGCTCCATGCTTAAGTTGCAGTCAATGTCCACGCCGCTGAATAATCTACACCTGCGTTTACATCAGCATCGTATGGGAAGATCCCTTCTTCTTTATGTTACTGGCTGGCCTGGCTGCCTTGTTTGCTGAAAGGACATGTGATCATGACTAATGGGCTAATGTTGTGTGGTCATAAGGGCTTGAGAATAAACTGTCTCACACTCTCTTCACCTCCTATTGCTGCAGGGTTGCTACATGGTGGGAGAGTATATTTGGGAACATTGCCTCTGCTGCAGTATCCACACTGCTCATGCTAAGCTGTACATCTTTTGAAATGCTAATCATCCGAGGAAGCCAGTTTGTTTACTCTAATGCTCAAGAATGCCACCCTCCAGAGAGAGTGCTTTTCATGTTCAGGGTGTCTACTGAGGTGTCTGATGAGGGAAATGCATACAGTACGGCACAAATAGAGATGCATGCGTAAAGGAAAAAATTGTCATATATTCGTAAGGCGTTCCTTTCTGTACGCATTATGATTAAAGCATGGCCAAAATATGCGTTGCTCCTCTGCTCTTAGTGACGAGTGCTGGGACTGTGAGAGCTCAGAGGGAAACACAGCCGCTGT